AAATCTATCATAAATTTGAAAAATATATAGCCTAACTGAAATAGTATGATCTAGGTGCTAGAAAATCTACGGTGGTAGAATAATGAATTATTGTCTTAACGTTGCTCGAAGATTCAACACATATTCAAATAAAAGAAAATAATCAATCAATACATCATAAGTTTTTTACGTGGAAAACCAGTAAAATGAAAAAATCATAGGGTCTGATCCAGCTGTAAAAATTCACTACAACGATCACTTCTCTCACAGACCGACAAGGGTTATAATATCTCTCAAGAGACAACATTGACCTGCAGATATATTTGTTGCTTGGAACGGGCGACGATCGATAGAGTTTGGCAGTGGCCGATGGTGGTTGACTACTGACGGTGGGGGTTGGCAGTGGTCAGTGACGGTAGAGGTGACGCTGAACTTCAACTCCTCAAAGCTTCATGCGCTTTTTCAGGTTTCAAGCTGCCCCTCCTCATGAGAGGGATGTGACACTATTTATAGAGTTATGAGTGCAATTAATGTAGGAATATGAACCACTTTAATCAGACGGTTTAGAAAGCTTTTCTAGATCAAACGAAAATTGATAGACATTTGAGTGCCTTAACGATGTCAGAATTGAGCGATCTTGGTCTCATTCGATTCGTCTTATAGAGACGCTTAATTTGACTATGAACTTGCCAAATTCAATATTAGTTTAAACTTCCAAATAATCTCATAAAGCTTCTAAATGTAGTTTAATGGCTTCATTTAGCTTAGATTGGACCAATTTTGACACCATTGGATTCGTCTCTTTGAATCAGACAGTTTGACTGTAAGATTGTTGAAATCGAAGCTGTGGATGACTCTTAATTGAAGTTTGAACATTTCTTGCTCGAAAGATTGCATCAGAAGATGATGGAATTTGTTGAAGTTATTAAAACTCAGTTTTAACAGCAACATAAAGTGGTTTTTTTTTCAATTGGTTAAGTTTGTCAATATAGGAGCTGAATTGTAATTAATTTTTTTATTATAAAATGCCAAAAAAATATTTAGCTAACGGAATAAAAAATTAAAATTTGGCTTTTATACGCATGCAAAATTCAATGAAGCATCAATGATAGAAAATTTCAATGATTTCTTAAGATTTAGTAGGTTCCAAATGATGCTCCGTCTCATAAATCTAACCCATTTAATTTTCGGATGAGTTAACCGCTAATCCGACTACCTGAACTATCCAAATACTTGTTACATCTTAGGCTAAATGCTTTAGTCAGGCCGCATTCAGGTCAATTTGGTTGAAAACAAGTCACATTTGAATTAAAACTTTCGACCCGTTTATGAAATAGGTTCAATTCGAGTTAGACACAAATCAGACCCGAACTAGACTCGTTAACTCGAATTAAAGCCCTAAGACTAGCAATATATTTCTACCACATTCTTACATTTAACTGCTTAATAACATCAAGACCAAAGAAGGCAAAGAGAATTCAAAGTGAGCCAACCAAGCAACCAACCCTATTAAATAAGTTGAAGGGCAGCAGTTTTATAAAGCTTGAGTGCCTTGAAGTCAGGGGCAATCATGATGTTGATTTGCAATGATTAAGATAGTGGTTTTCGATAACTTGGATAATATTGAATGACGAAAGATGTAAGAGATTGAATAGATCCGCATATGCAGTACACTAGTTGAAGATAAAGTGAAAGATTTCTCGTGTTAGATTCAAGTAGGTGTGTCAAAAATTGATCCAATGAGTCAAATCGTCTTGAACTCAAATTGAAAAATCTAGATTCAAATTAACCCATGTAATATTAGGTTTGGGTTTGGGTTAAGAATCCTAATTCATTTCTTTTTTCGAATCGAGTTCAAGATGACTTGTCTACCTAAAATGGACTCAAAATTAACGATAATAGTTATTATGTCTTATGCTAAACAGGTTATACAGGCTGGGTTTGGGTTATAACAGGTTGAATGTGGACAGAGTTGGAGTTAGATTTTCTGACACATCCAATACTTTGGTCAAACAGTTTCAGATCGGGTCAGACCCAAACCCGATATGTGATCCCAATTTGACACCCTTGGGTTCAAAGCTTTCAACTTCGATGTTTTACTTCTCTTTTGTTGTACATACACTTATACAACAACTTATTTTCTATTTTATAATATTTTGGGGGTTTTTGATAATCATTTTTTTATCCAATTAAATTTTGATGTTATATACAATCTCAAAATTTAATATTAAGGGTCTCTTTGAGGCAACTTCAACTGTTTAAAGAAGCAGTTGTGAAGCTGTTGCAAATTAAATTGCTTTTAAGGAGCTATGGTAGTTACTATAAATTTATTTTATTTTCAAAATGTCACACTTCAGCTTTTTAACAACCATCACACTTTAGCTCAGTTAAAAAAAGGATCTTTCTACCACAGAAACTTTTAAAAAACACTAATAAAGCAATTCCCCAAATAGAAATGTGGTGACGATCTGAAAAACAAAACAGACAAAAACTGTCATAAACAGACCCTAAAGTTATTAATTATTTTATAATGTCATTAAAATTACTTATATGCATAATTTCAAGTGTTTTTAATCAAATGCATAAAATTTTTTTATCGGTTGGCTTCAATGGCATGGGTATAATTTAAATGTATAAGTGTGGAGCATATCAAAATTTTCAAGTTTAAATATATGGGTTAATGATTATATTTTTTATGCAGTAGATTGCTTTGATTATTGAAATACACAATGATTATCTTTTGTTTGATGAACTCACTTTATTTTTGGATGTTTGATGTATTGTTAAATTTGCATGAAATTTGATTAAATTTGATTTTTGAGTGTTCTCTATTTCAAGTGATATTTTTTTTAAAACAACACTAATATTGCATAAATATTATTTTTGAGGGTTAAACAAATTTATTTTTGATATATAAAATAAAAAAAAAATAAAATGAATATAATTAGAAAAAAACACTCAATATGCCCCAATTATTCATATAGAAATCAATGTGTATTGACCTTCAGTCCTCATTTGTCAGCTTCATGTCTATTTATTTGCAATAAAGTTTATAGCCAACTTAGAGAGAGAGAGAGAGAGAGAGGCATTCATGATGCATGAATAGATGTATTTTACTTTTTAGAAGTGAAAATTGTGATATTTGAGATGTGATATGGAAAATTCTGGGTGGTATAACTGTAAAAAGAAAAGTTTATGTGCTCTGTTATGCAAAATACATAAGAATTGGGTGATATGTATGTATGCATATGTCCCATTTTCTTGGTCTTATGATCAAAAGAAACATCATGGCTCACTGTATTATAATCTGGAATTGGTACAGGATGAACTTAGGATTTGGTGTGCAATGCACATGCATATATTTAAAGGGGCATCAGCACAAATATCACTCAGCTCCTATGTATTTACATGTATATGACACAAACTTTCGATTTTTCAATACATGACACTGTACCTATGAATTAAAAGATGTATTTCAATTTTTAAAAATTAAAAATGATTATATTTTTTATATGATACTGACCACCGTCGACCAACTCCCATTGGCCACCATCGATCATCGTCAGTCGCCACCATCAACGACTTTTGTTTACTAACTTCATACCCCAAATATGACTATAATGTATAACACAGTATTGAAGACTTGAGGATAATTTCTGGCTTCTGTAACTGTTAACCATTGCCCATTGGATTTCATCACCATCGTCTCGCCGTCGCTGTCAACTCCGACTTGCTAATATTGTATCCCAAATATGATCATAATGTACAACTCCATATTGAAGATCTAGAGATAAGTTACAGCCTCCAAAGTCGCTAATTATCATTGGCCACCACATGATGTCATCTCCAACCGCCACTGATCACCGACGGCCGCTAACCACAACATACAACCATTATAATCAAAATACAATGGTGATCCCTAACACATGTATTTTTTTTTATGTTGTGTTACGACAGATGCATTATCCATTGTAAAAATATAACCCCGTACCAAGACAAGTGGTCCAACCATCGACTATAAACTTTATGGTCAACTACTATCCTTGCAATGACCAACTAAGACCTTTGTGCCAACTGATACTATTGCAGGCCCAAAATAAAGCCTATATGGCCAACTATTATTACAATTGATGATATTGCATCTTTTAATCATGGCCTTTACGGAACTATATTTATCGTAGCCCAACAATTGTTATTATATCTAAACCACTATTGTATATTCGTAAATATCAATTTTATAATTTCATCTTCTCCAATTCATTAAAAGAGTGGACCAATATAATTATAATTACATAGCGTATTATTTCAATTAAGCTAGCCGCCGTGGTTTGTTTACTTTTTAGGTTTTTTTTTTAATTAAAAAATCTTTAAATTATTAATTAAAAAAGACTCCAACCTCAATTAATTTTTATTAAATCCAATAAATGAGACCTGCATTTAATTCGTATTGTATCCAATAAACAACACCTTTTTTATTTTATACATTTTTTTTTTCTGACATACAAACTGATAAATTTAATTAACATTGTTTTGGTGCATCACAAGTAATTGCAATAAAATGTGAAACATTCGGTTCCCCGAGTCACAATCTTTACCCATAAAGGATGGACATGAACATCTCCCTTATATGGAGGATTCCGACTTAACTGTATAAAAGAGGACCCCATCCCCTCTTTATTGTGACATTTTCTGCCAAAGCAGGTCAAAATTATTGTGTCCATAAGCCACTTGATGTGATGATTAATAAAGAAAAGGGGGCATTTACATACATACCACCGAATCCCTTAATATTAACATATCTAACACATAAATTTTCCTTTTTTGCCATTTATACCGCCTAGAAAACAAAATAAGGATGAAATATCATGAGCTTAAAAGCAAAAGAATGAATCCCAAGAAACCATGAAGCAAAAGCAAAAGCTATAAACGAAATACTTGTAGCCATTCATTAATCTCACAAAAAGCTGAGACTTTTACAAGAACTTTAGTAAAACCAGATCACACATACAGCCAGAGTAGCATTTGGTCTGATAAAGATGAAGAAGCAACTCCTGAACACAAACAAATATATAAATTCAATCAAACTCCCAATTAAAAAACCAGTACTCAAAGCTCAAATCTTAATAAGCAATTTGAGCCTCCATTTACTCCTCCATTAGGGCCAAGAAGTCAAACCAACAAACTCCAATTCCATCAGGAATCAATTTTGATTTTAGACTATCCTATTTGTCACACCAAGTTAGTGAAACAAGAAACTAAGAGATATAAACAATTCATCAAAATGACTTTCCTAATCACCCATACCAGCATCCCACTTGCCTCTAAAAGGCGACGACCTTCGCTCGATTAAAACTCGACACGGCCATCTTCCCGCTCCCGCTTCTATCGAGCTCGCAGCTTTCGCTTATTGTGTCGCCCTTCAGATCCGAAGGAGGGATGAAGCAATCCACGGAAAGACCGGGAACATTGAAAGCCACCTCGTCGATGGTCCACGCTTCCTCCATCCTTGTCTTCGTGTGACTCAAAGCAACCTCGCCAAACTTGAAGAGAGTGAAGATGGAGCGACCGGAATGGGCGACCATAACACCATCAACAGGGCGGTAATCATCGAGAAACGAAGCGGTGGTGGTCTCCCAGTACACCGACTCACCGCCGGAACTCGGTTGGATTCGTGTTAGGTGTGAGTCCTCCATGTGGACGAGAAGCCCAGTTTTCTGACTGAAATATCCAAACATAACATGCCTTATAATCTCTGCGGCTCCCTCACTCCTAGCCTTCAAAGTATGAGGATCAGCACAAAGCTTCAGAATGAAGCAATCCTCTCCATCAACCTTCTTCTCTCCGATGCACTGAGCGTTTGCAAACATGTTTGCCGTTGTCAACGGATCGAGACCCTACAACAAAAACACTCCAACCGATCAAAAACCAAATGATTTCAGGCCTTGTGACAACATCTTTTTAAAATGATGGTTGGATGTAGTTGGAAATCAATATTTATTTCAAACTACAAAAAAACCAACAAAATATCATAACTATATGGTTAAATTGTCAAACACAAAATTTGTTAAGGAACATTTACACACAAACCACTCAATTTCTATGTATTTACATGTGGAACAACTAAACTTCAATTATTTGGCACATGCAACCTTATCCATTGAAGAAAAAAGGTGTATTTCACTTTTTAAAAAGTTAAAATGGTGATATTTTTTATTCAAATAAGAAAGATTTGGGTTTTATAGATGTAAAAAGTAAAATTTAGGTGTTAGATACCTAAAGAAAAGAGAATGATGTGGTAAGTATGTAAATGCCCCATGAGTTAAAGTAAAGTCTTACTTTTCGTAAACATATTCAAATGAGCTCTCCGGAGAATAAAGACCAAGACTCACCACAAATTCAATTAGGCCATGCAAAATTGGAAGATATACATATATACCACTCAAGTCCTATGTATTTACATATTTAACATCTAAACATTAATTTTTACACAAAAGGTGGTTTCACTTTTTAAGAAAAGTTAAAATGTTGGTACTTTTGATGTGATTTGAAAGATTTGGCCACTATAAATGTAAAAAGTTTAGGTATTAGATATGTAGATATATAGGATTTGTGTTGTATGTAAACGCCTCCTTGTAAAATTTCTCCATGGTAAGGAAATGAAGTTCATTAAAAGAGTTAACTTTATACCTGAAGTGCTCGACGAAGAGGACGAACAGGGCCCTTGGCGGCATGAGCGCCGAGCCATGGGGTGTGCCGCCAAACTATCTTGCCATTACAACCGGCATGGATCTTGCTGCCACCGACGGCAAGCTCGAGATACCACATCTCAGGAAGCATCTGCCACAGCACGAAGCTGCCGGACTCGGAATCTCTTGAAGAATTTCGATTCTTCATCACTTTGGTTGCTGTCTCGATCTCAGATGTCACCATCCTCATCTTACCCATGGCGTAGGAATTATGAATTGTGCTCAGCAGCTTGATTCCACCAGAAGCTGCAGTGTACTGCTGCAGTATATATTGAGCCGATGAAGTTTCCTACAACATCAGGTTGAAGAAGAAATCAATAAATATTCTTAAAGCATGAAGAACGGGTAATGAGTTTAATGCGATAAAAAAAAAAAATGCTATCAAGAACAAGAAATAAAAAACAATAATCTGATGCTTACATTGAAAAAGGTGAAACAGAACAAAATTAAGAATAATCATTCAAGAAGCGTGAAGAGGGGGTAAAATTTCTACGGTTAATGCATAATGCCATAATAAGTTTGGTGAATTCTATGAATAACAAAGGGTGAAATTGATTTCGGTAAAGGAAACAACCACCAGATTACAAAATCTTCATAAAATTAGGTTTTATGTTACTAAAACAAGCGATAAAATTGAAAATCCCAATTAGAGCCAATTATTATTAGCACTAAAAATCAAAATGCATGTCAAATCCTATTATTGGCGTTAAGAATTCCAAACTGTACCCTAAACCCAAAACAAAATTAAACTACATACCAAATTCAACTAAAAATCAATAAACTCAGCCCCACAAAACTTACAAAAACGCTTCAAAAAAGCATAAAAAAATTGCACCATCACGAACCCCAAAAAACTCATCGAATAAAGCATCCATCAAACCAAAAACCCTAATAAACAATTCCGATAAAAAACTCCAGTAAACACGGCCAAAGTTTATGCCCTTTTTTGCCTCCAACCCTCCATCGAAACTCACAATGGGCGTATCCTTGATGCTCAGATGAGGAAGCGGCTCGCCGGCACAGACGTGAACTGGTGCGAGAGGCGCCCCCATGACTCCGAGCAGCAGCCGGAGATCGGAATGCCGGTTACCTCCGATAACCGTCGGCGCTCTCGCAAACTGCGCCCATACCCACTCACTCCACCCATCCTTCTTGCACTCCCCACCAACCCAATCGCCAGGATCGGGCCCCTCCATGAGCGGCGCAAGTGCTTCGCAGCCGGATCTCACCACCGGCGGGGGCTCCGCGCCCGGCC